CCTGGCATCACCTCGAGCCCCTTCCTGTCCCAGCAGCAGGGACAGGGAAGCCCCTTCCCACCCCTGGCATCGTCCCTGCCCTCACCCCGAGCCCCTTCCCACCCCTGGCATCGTCCCTGCCCTCACCCCGAGCCCCTTCCCACACCTGGCATCGTCCCTGGCATCACCCTGAGCATGTTCCCATCCCCAGCACCGCCCCCGGTATCACCCTGCGCTCCTTCCCACAGCTGGCATTGTCCCTGCAGTGTCCTCGGCCCTGTCCCACCCCTGATGGGTGTCCCACTCCCCCCGGGCCCCTCCGGTCCCGGCGCTCACCGAATTCGCTCTGGCAGAAGTGCCGGATGCGCTGGGAGCGCCCCTTGGGCGGGCGGCACCTCCCACAGCGCCCTGCGGGGATAAAGCTGCAGCAATTTAGGGGGCACAGGGGACCCCTGAACCCCCCGAACCTCCTCATGAAACTTTGGGAGGGGAGCTTGTGCGTCCAGAGGGTCACACGGGGCTCCTGAGAGCCCTGGCGAGGGTTTTTAGGGTCATTTTTAGGGTCCCCATCTTATTGCTCCCCTGGGCAGCCCAGGATGCTCCCAGCCAGGGGCGTGGGGGGCTGCGGGGACCCCCGAGCAGGTACCTGCGGCAGCCCCGTCCTGGCTCCGGCCAGGGGGGCTCCTCGGCGGTGGCTCCGTGGCGAAACCCCCGGGCTGTGGGGGCGGCGCGGGGGCCGGGCTGAGCGGGGGCTCCGGGGGCGGGGGGCTGCCGGCCCCCCGGGGCTGGGGCTGCCGCAGGGGGCTCGTGTCACCGCGGCCGAGCTGGGGGTGCCCGCGGGGCAGCCAGAACCGGTACTCGATACCGGGGTTGGGCTCCTGCAGCAGCACCTGGGGGGGCACGGGAGGGGCTGGGAGGAGCGGTGGGGGCCGGGGGGTGGGGGCTGTCCCCACCGCCGTGTCCCCCCAGCCCTCACCATCACGTGTAGGTCCTCCTGGGTGGGTCCGGGCGCCTCCAGGCTCTCGGTGCCGTCGGGGGCCCGGCTGTAGGTCAGGAGGGTGCCCGCAGCCTCGTAGGGCCCCGGCCAGGCGATGGCCCAGTCCCCGTTGAGGACGTAGCGCCCGTCACTCGCCATCAGCGCTGCGGGAGGGAGCGGCTCCGGCAAAGCCAGCCCCGCACGGCCCCCGGGACCCCCGGCCGGCTCCCCACCGGAGGCCTCTCCCGGCGCGGGAGGGCAGCGTGGGCCGGGGAGCCGCGCTCGGGGCTCCGGGAATCCGCGTTCCTGTAGGATCTTGGCTTCGGGCCCAAAGCCTGGTGTGCAAACCCAGCCCCGAGCCCCCAAATCCTGGCTGGGATGGGGGAAGGGGCTCCAGCTGCATGGGAAAGGGGACGGGGGGTGGGGATGGAGGTCCCTGTCCTGGCGCTGCAGCGGCCGGTCTGGCCCCGCTCCAGCTCAGCCCTTCCCAAAACGCGCGGCCACGGCCTCTGGAAAATTGCCCCGAGCGCTTGCGAGTTCACTGACCCCGCGATGCTCAAAACAGCATCCGAGGGAGGGAGCGGCACGGCACGACATGGGACAAACATGGGCCAGCACTGCGTGACACGGCCACCCTGCCCTGCCCTGCCCTGCCCAGCCCGGGCCAACTGGGATGGACTGGGACTGACTGGGACCGAGGCAGTTCACGTCCTACCCAGGTAGTTGCGGCTCCTGTCCGTCACCTTGATGTGGGTGGCCCCGGCCGGGATCTTGGTCACGTTCACGTATCCCAAATATCCTGGGGAGGGGCAGAGTCAGGGCAGGGCCCAGGGGACACCCCGAGGGGACAGAGGGAGAGGGGACAGGCACAGAGGGGACCCGGGTCTGGGGCATTCACCCAGCTGGGCCCCACGTGCTGGGACATCGGGGACCCGTGGACAGAGGGACTCGGAGTGCCCCCGGACACCCCTGGGGACGTAGCAGAGCCCCCAGGAGTGACGCCTCTGCAATGAGTGAAACCCCCCCGAGTGAATCCCTGCTCCAAGTCCCTGTCCCTGCGTGTTGGGGACAGGGAGGAACCAGAGACCTCCCACCGTGGATGGGGGGACATGGAGAGGGGACGGGACAACGGGGGGACCCAGGCGATGCCCTGGGGACACGGATGGGGGGGACAGGAGGACAGGGGAGCCAAGAGCCAAAGCATTCACCCATGGAGGGGGCCGGGGCAATGGTTCATTCACCGGAGGAGGGGTCCGAGCCCTGGAACAGCCGCTGCACGAGGACGCACGAGCCGTGGCCGCTGCCGCAGTGGCCGCAGGCGTCGGGGCGTGAGCCCGAGCCCAGGATCCCGTCACAGCCCACGCTCTGCGGGGAGCCCAGACACCCCCTCAGCGCGGGGGGCTCGGGGTCCCGGGGGTTCTGGGGGGTTCCGGGGTCCCGGCGCACTCACCAGGCAGCGCCCTCCGACGCACAGGTCCGGGGAGCCGGGCCCGCAGCGGGTCCCGTCCAGCACCCGGCCGAAGCTGTAGTAGAAGTTGTGTCCCTCGGCCAGGCAGTTGAGGTCGCAGAGGTTTGGGGCTGCCAGAGCAGGGTGGGAAGGGGTTGGGGTGATGCCGGGGACAGCCCTCGGTGAGGCCGTCACCACCCCGGGACTCACCTCCGTGGAAGGGCACCCAGCGGTAGCGGGCGGAGGTGCCCAGGACGGGCCGGTTGTCGTAGAGGGAGCACTGCATGGCCCGGAAGGGCACGGAGCCGCTGGGGCAGCCCTGCGGGAGCAGCACGATGGAGCCGGGGGGCCGCCGCGGGGAGCGGGGACAGCCCCGTCGGTGCCGCGGCGCTCCCGGCGCTCACCTGGAGCTGGCAGAGCCGATACTGCCGCGGGTCCCCCGGGCACGGCTGCTCCTCGCTGGTCCTGCGGTCACAGGGACAGCGCGTGTCCCCCCCCTGTCCCCCCCAGGGCCACCGGGCCACCGAGCCACGCCCGCACGGGGCAGCGGAAGAGGACTGGGGACACCGATGTCCCGCAGTGTCCCTCATCCCTTTGGAGCCTCGCCCCAGGGTGGAGGCACCGGGCTCAGGGTGGCGCTGAGGGCCCAGGGGGACACGAGGTGGCGGCAAGGCCCTGCCGTGGGATTTGGGCTCCACACGGGTTTTGGGGGCACCCCAGGGGCTGCCCCATCCCGCACTCACCGCAGGCACCTCCGGCTGCGCAGGGCGACGCCGTCCCCACACGAGCTGGAGCAGGAGCTCCAGGGTCCCCAGGACCCCCAAATCCCCCGGGGCCGAGCAGGAGGCTCGGAGACCCTCGCTGGGATCCCCAGGGATGAGTCCTGGGTGAGGAAGGTGACGGTCAGCGCTGGGAGCGGGCTGAAGGAGCTCGGGGGTGCCACGGCGTGCCCCAAAGCCCTCAGGTGCCCCCCAGCCCCCTCACCTGCGCCGTGCCCACCAGGCTGAGCCAGGCCAGCAGCAGCAGCCGCCACGGCCGCCAGGACCTGCGGAGCAGAGAGCCCTGAGCCCCCCAGGGCCAGGGGGTGACCCCGGGCTGGCCCCCCAGCCCAGCATCGCCGCCGAGGTGAGGCCATCATCATCATCATCATCATCATCATCATCATCATCATCATCATCATCATCGCCGGTGAGGGGGACGGGGTGAGTTGGGGGCAACCCCCAGCGCGAGGGTCCCCAGGGAGGGGATGAGGGGACAGGCGGCTGGGGGACACCCAGGAGGTGACGCCGTGTCCCCCCACACGTCCCCACCGGCCCCGGGACGGGCGACGGC